CTAAGCAAAGAGGTTTTAATCCATTGTTGTGCCTCACCTCCACATCCAAGGCCTGGCAAGTCAAAGGGTACTTCTTCATTTCCATGACATGATATCAGTGATGGAAGTAGTAACAAAGTGTCCCCGATGATGTAAGAAGTTTTACAATTTATAATAGGAGAAATTTCAGTAATGGTCATATAATAGTGCGTCTGGATTTTGCCATGCATGTAGCCTGTGGTCTAGTGAAAGCATTGACTGAGTTTAGATTGTTAAAAAATAAATACTAGCTTTTTATATTAGTACTTGACACTTTGGCAGGACAAATCTGCCAAATCATTAAAAGTAACACATTGCATATCTAATTTTAACAAAAAAATAAAGCAACATTGCAAAAAAAAAAAAAAAAAAACTTTGTGGGAATAAAATACACAAGCAACAGTAATGACAAAACAATTTAGTAGAGTAACTTATCATATGCAGTTAAACAAAAGCATTGATTAGCCAATCCCAAGTCAGTGAGTCGTGTTATAAAAGCAAAGGCTTTTCTTTCAGTATGCTGACCAGCTCCTGATTTTCACACACAACAGCAAGAAGGAAATGAATCATTGGTCTTTGAGAAGTAATTGTTGCTGCTGAAATACTGCTGGTTTAAAAATATTTGCCACATCATTCCTCCTCACAAATTCTTCAAATTAAGATATGATTCCTAAGAACCATAAAGTCAATTACTGCTTTCGACATATTAGAAATTGTTTTAATCTTTTGTTCTTGACCATCTGTCGTGCTTCTTTCCAAAATCCTGCTTTCCAACCATCCTGAAACAGTCATAGAAATTTCATATTTTTATTAAAAGAAGTAAAACATTTATACTATTTAAATGCCTTGATTTCTGCTAAATAAATGTATGCTTTTTAATGACCAGCAGAAAACATTTTCCCTCCATGTGATCCTCCTGCAACTGCACGTTGCACATCACTTACGCAAACAGAAATTTTTCTGGAAATTTTTAACAAAATTATTTTTAAGACATTTTACCAGGAAGATTTTCACCCAATTCATTCAGCAAACAGAATAAGTTGTGAACAATAACATTGATTTTCTGCATTCGAGCAAACAATTGCTTCTTAATAGCTGAGAGCCCAGTCTTTGCGAAGAAGAGCGTGGAACGAAGGGCTGAGGTTTCCCAAGCTATGAATTTAAAGACAGAGAAAAAAATATATATATATAAAACAATTTTGTGTGTTAACCCTTCCTGCTCAGTTTGCAGACTTTGTAGTGGTCCTCTTGTATGAAATGAACATCACTCTTGTAAATCCAATAGGTAATATTATGAAAACATTATATTGTGATCGACAGTAATTTTCAGCACAGTCCCTGGTGTGAAAGTCCTAAAGACAAAAGCTCACATAAGACAAATCAGGTCCTACACTTCATAATCTCTTCTACTTCCACTATGTCTACATCAGGAGATTCATGTATGGCCTGGAAAACTTGCTTAATGTCATGTCATGATGTTAACAATCACTTCTGATGATGGGTAATAATTTCACTAAAAAAATGGAGTGGCAATTGTTTGAGCGCTCCCTCTATTGTATTCAGTATCTCTCTGGAGTTTTGTGACGCATGGACAACCTGTAACACAAATTTGCTGGCAAATGATGCTATACAATTTTTCTGTGAAGCAATTCTTCTCCAGGCTTTAAAATACTTGAATAGCACAGTTTTTAATCTCATGCTGATGTCAACAAGGTGTTATGTCTTATACAAACCTCACTGAAGACTGCTATATTCAAAAATTATACAGACTCAATAATCATTTGCTTCTTTTTTTGAAAGTCCAAATAACACAGCATCTGCGTGTTACTCATCCCAGGTATTTGGGTGGCCATTTACAACTTTGCCTCAAAATTCTCTTTGTGGTTTCAAACTGATGCACAAATGTTCTAATGCAATCTGTCACTTCTGGAGCAGACTTTGTCTTCATTGTGTAAATCTGTGGCCATTTGGTGAAAGAGTTAATGATGACATATTGGTGTCCTGACTTTGTTTGAGACAGTTTTTCGTTCAAGTCTATTCCAACCAAAACAAAAGGATGTGAAACCTTAAATGAAAGAATTAGTTAATTATGCTAGAAAATAAATTAATAAGAAAAGATGGGTACATTTTGAGAGTACAGCTTTGTAAGCAAAAAAAATTATAGTCTTTTGACTTGGTGCGAATCTTCTCGTATCTATAAAACTCCATCTACTCATTTTCTCTCTCAAATGAGTAAAAACTGAGTAACCTAAGGTTTTAATTATTTAAGTTAAAGTCATGTTTGAATCTGATCGTTTTTGCTCCAAAACTGGAAATTAGGGTTTATTTTCTTTATCTCAGTGTTGCTATCACAAAATCGAATAAATTAAAATACAGACATCAATATGAGTTAGATAGAAATACATAGAAATACATTAACTCTCATCAATTTTACAGAATGTTAACTTTGGTTCTTCAAAAAAATCTGCTATATGTCTGTTGGATGTCCACAGTGTACATAAGGAGAAGATTTTTCAGTTTGAGGTGACTGTGATCCACCCAGCTGCCGATGATCTCTACCTGCAGGCTGCAAGCTGTTCTGTTTACCTGGGGTGGAGTTGTTAGCTTTGCCAGTTTCAAACATCCTGGTCACAAGCGTACCAGTCTATCTATACACACATGCACACACACGCAGAGTAAACACTCCTAGCATATGTTAAGTCTGTTAAACAGATGGCAGTTGATGAGCTTTGTTGTTATTGAAAAACTTAGGGATTAATAAAATATCTTTAAATACTCATGAGTTCAATCTTTATGATGAGAAATCATCATTTAAATGATGATTTCACCAACAGCTTTGCCCCGAGCTTTAATAAAAGACGAAAAAGAAGCTGAAATGCAAAACACATTAGAGTTTGAGGTTGAAAAGAATGCATGGGCCAACCACATGTTCCTTTAGTTTCACATCATCAGCATCACCATCATTCCCTGAACAAATACTTCAGCCAATCAGCTGATCTGACTGTTTTTTTCAGTTAAACTTTGTATCAAACTGTAGCAGGTGTGAAAATCTTCATATAATCTGTCCTGAGAGTACTGATGGATCCCAAACCAAGGTAGGAGCAATCATATGTTCAATTAATTGTTTATATAAGCAAAAGTTTCTTTAAGTTTTACACTAAGCTGTTTTTAGATTTATTATGTTTATTTTATACTTAGCTAATATTAATTTTATTGTACTTCTTTGAATTTTATTTGAGATTTATTTACATTTCTTTAGATTTCCCCAGTTACTTCTCAAATTTAAGTATGAATACACAGTAACATTGCTGAACATAATGGAGACATTTGACATTTTTGTAGTTCATTCTGTCCTACAACACTTATGAAATATTTGAGAATTTCCAAAGAAATTTCAGATATCTAAAGTAATTTTGTCCCATTTTTCTTGCATGCATGTCTGAAAGTCTGGTTTTAAAAGTCTTAGATCTAATCAACTATTTCAGATGTTGAGTCTTTAATAAGCTCAGATTCCCTGTTGAGTGTCACATTTAAGTTAGTTAAATCTTAAAGATTTGTTCATGGCTTCTTTAAAAAATTACAAAAGGTATTGAAATATTCTTGTGAAACCCTGGAAACAATTATTTAAAAACCTGCCTGTAATAGTTTCTGTAAAGAAGTTAAATCAAATATAAATACTTAGACATTACTTTAAAACTAGCAATTAGTTTGTCCTGTTTTATTTGAAGAGACTATTATGACAATTCAAAAAAAGTTTTGAATTCCTTACAAATTTAATAAAAATAGGAAACCTCTGGTACTGTAATATAAAATCTAAGAACACTTAAACAAAGTAATAAAACTAAACAATGAAAATGGAGAAAAATACATTTTAAACAGCTGGGTAAAATAATACATAAAATTGCTAGTGATGAATAGACTGGGATCCCCTCCATTTATTCTCACTTAAAGTGGTTAAAATCATTCAGGCATATCTTATCAGCTGCACATCATGTGTCTTGAAGATGGTTTTTCTTGGTTTAAACCTCAGATATTATTATGGTGAGCCAACATTATTATTATTATTATTATTATTATTATTATTATTATTATTATTATTATTATTATTATTATTATTATTATTATTATTATTATTATTATTATTATCCATCCATCCACCCATTTTCCGGTCACCCTTCTCCCTAACGGTGCCTTGTCAACATGTCCAGGTCTGCCTGACCAAGCAAGAAGGCAGACTGCAAGATGCTAAAAGAAGTTTCCAAAATCCTTAAAATATCATCAGCGAACATACAGAATAGGGTTTTTTGCATGTTGGTTTACAATCAGAAAGAGACTGTGAGCTAAAGCTTCATACTGTTTGCATAGAGGAAAGCTTCACTTTGGGGCCTGTTGCCTTTCTCCAGTGGCCAATGGGAGAGAGGCAGTGAACACCCTGAACAGGTCCAAAGTATTTCCTCAGATAGAAAACTATCTCATTTACATATTTTGCTTAATGAGGTAAACATAGTCAGTTTTCTCTAATTAAATCTACTACTTTTACAGAGTTAAAATGATGAGGTTAGATAAAAAAAACTAACATTTCATATTGAATGAGGCATTGTGAGTGTTTAAATAGTTAAACTTTGAATTTACTGCCATGCTATAGTCTAACCAATTTAACATTAAATATGTAAAAGTATTTATATATGGACATTTTATATAGACTTTCCTGTGTAGGAAAATTAACAAGTGAAGGGCTGCTCCCTTTAAACCAATCACAAACCAAAAGTATTCGTGTCAGCCTGATTAACAGAAACCACAGCTGGTTAAACAGAGAAATATCATTTTAAAGTGAAGCCAAGTGACAGAAGAGCCAGTGTATTTAAGGCTCCATAGCGATCAGTTTCATTTTTGCACATGAAGCAACAAGTAACATTGGTAAATTGCTTCAGGATATCTGAGAAAGACGTCACGTCAGGAATATGTTCTGGAAAGATGGTTCTGCTGTGGACAAAAGTCACAATAATTGACAGCAAATAGATTATTGTGCCTTACTTCTGATTTGCAATAGAGGAAACAATTGTTAGGGTAGAGTAATCTTTGGAGAAGAATTAGAAGTTAGACCACACATAAAGTGAAATATTTTCCTGCAAGAAACCTCTGTAAATATCAGCTAAATGGATCTATTGGGCAGTCCTGCAACTCAGCAAAGGTGAGTCGTTGAAGTTTGTGTTTCTTTTCTGAAGTAATAACCAATTACTCTAATCTATCAACCTTTGGAACAACAGCTATCATTTTGAGAACGTTCAGGTTTGGTTAAAGACGCAGTAGGATGTCTTATGACTGTGTATAAACAGGCAGAGAAGAGCAAATTTGCTGAAAAAATTCCTTCCTTCCTCAATCTATGTGCATCATAAGAAAGATATGCTGGAAGGAACATGTTAGATTTTTAGAAACAATGCTTATCTGACTTATTTTTTGATTTATGCTTTTCAGAAACTCCCCCCAAAAAACACAAGATGTTTATGGAGGATACCACTTGTTTTCTTTTTTCTCCATTGAGTATAAATTTTAGTTTGGTTTTTCTTTTCATATTTCATGTTTCATTGTATTTGAACTCTCGGAAACAGAGCTTGAATTAACAACACAGGCTTCACCTGCTGGCGTCAATGATTGGACTTTTTTTGACATCAGGCTGGCAATGTGACGCAAAAGTGCAACAAAGATTTTCTTAATTCTATCCAGATCTAATTATTCTTTTTTACTGTGAATCTACATCTGTTTAGAGGTGAAAACACGTGGGACAACACGCTCAGGATGGACAGAAGAAACAGTGCAGACTACATGTTCACAAAATTTGGAACCTGTCTCAAAAGATGAAAAATAAAAACAATATATATCTTGACTATTTGAAACATAATAAGGAAATCAAAACAGAAATATTGGTTTCTGTTTTTGGCCATAAAAATTCTAATTTGCCAATGTTCTGCTTGAATAGTTTCAATGTTAAAACAAAAACCTAATTTCCACTTTGAGTATAAAGTTATTGAACATAGTGTCATAAAAGAAAAAAACAAAGTTATATCCACAGAAATAGATATTTAGGTTAGGTGCAATAGGTTTTGTCATTACTGGTTTCTAAAGAGAGCATTTTATTACCAGTTACATTCACACAGACTGAACTTTAGACTGTTTTCAGTTCATAACAACTTGTTCATATTTTAAACTACTGCTTACATGTTTGGGATTTTTTCTTAATGGCTCAGTTGTAAAATAATCCATGAAGTGAGGATGATTGAAGTTGCTGCTCCTTTAGCAGGAAGGAAAAGAAGATATTTGGCCTGAAAGTGAAGAAGAAGAAGAAAGGCATCGCTGACCTGGTCCTGGCAAACAAAGGAGCTGTGGGTAAGGCATGGAAAACAAACATCACTGAGTCTCAGTTGTGATAATAAGAAGAGGAGTTGTCTCTGTCATCATAGGAGTGAAACTAACCCTGGTCAAATAAGCATGTGTGATAGGTATTTTCTCAACCTATATAAAAAGAGAACCACAGACAACGTTTAAGTTTTCAAGCAAGTGTTTTGCAAAAGGAGAAGGCACAGCAGACCACTTCCTGAAGGTGTCTGCCAGGCGTTCTGACTTTCTGCATCAGAACTGGTCCTTTATTACAAAGCATAGCAGGAAAGGACTGTGGAGGGAGGCAGTTTAAGGAGTTTCCTAAGATAAGAAGTGGTTACAGCTTCAAGGTCTATACGCAGCTGCAGCTCCAAAGTCTAACAAGTTCCTTTTCTCAGGGATGTGAATACTAAATCTATTAAAACTACAAATGTAAGAATGATAACAAAACATAATTATTCTAACAAGGTGTCAGTTTACTATGAGGAGTCCTGGTTGCTATGGGTGATTTCAGTTTTCTTGGAAAACAGATTGTTCCTGTCATTACCATGAAACTGAAGTATTATCTGTAACGATTCCTGATATTGAACAAAAAAGTGTTTCAGTTCAGAGTTTCTGTGTACGATGGTCCTACTTGTTTTTTGTGTTTGTGTGTGTACAGACAGTGAGGTGGAGACTACCTCTGAAGCATCTCTCCTTCAGGAAGGGGAAACCCCAGAAGACCAGCCTCTCATTAGAAGAGCAATAAAACCAAACACAAAGAGGTAGTACTGTTTCAAACTGTTGAACAGTGGAGTACAATATCTGAGTGTATTTATTTTGTAATATATTGTGCAGTTATGCTGGAGTCAAAAAGGTTTCAAACAATCATGCATCCTGTTACAACTAGCAGAAAAAAAGCAAACGGGAAGAGGAAGTTATTGTCACGTCTATGAAATGAAATGAAATGTTTCAAATAATTCACACAGAAGGTATAAAAAAGATATTGTTTAAGTCAAAAGCTGCACTTGGACTATACCTATCTACATCTGTAAACTGACACATCTAAAAAATAGGCTTTTTGGTCTAAATTATACAGGTTTTAATATCCAAATAAAAAACAGCAACAATGACTCTAAATGAATACTAAAAACACAACATAACAATTTTTAAAAAATGTATTTTCATTGAGTCATAGGTTTATGACTCAGTGCCATGCATTTCCTGCTGCTGCGCCACCTTCAGGCAAAAAAGATGTCATCATATAGCTGCAATAAAAAAAAACAAGTCTTCACACTCATATACCTTCCACATTGGTATGCTCCAGGTTCACCGCTGGAGGATACCATTGGTGAAGCACACACACCTCCAAATTACACCCAGGTGGGACTTTGTCAGGTTGAAAGTTACTGTACAGAAAACCTTCCTCAACTTCATTTTTAAAAAGTTGCAGCTATGCAGATCAAATCATTGACAGTGATGCTTTTCTCCATAGTAAGACTGGAACTGATAGAGGGAAATCTAAAATCTCACTTATAGATTGTGACAAGTAAAAGAAACATCCTGCTGCAGAGCTGATATCAGTGACTGTAGTGTCATAAGATGACTGAGAAATCAGCATGGAAAGAACCTCTTTGGAGAGTACTAACAACATAGGAGTGTGATTATATATTTTTCAAATTATTACTCAGGTTTTGATGCCATGTAAATCGGTTGCGATTTACCTAGTTAACTTCTTCATTGTGAGAATGTTTTCTGTTTCATCTATTTCTCTGTTTTTCTGCAAGATGACAAAACAGGTTTTTCTATGAATTTGACATTCATGTGAATTCCCACAGGGCCAAACTTCAAACTCGCATTCAGGACAGCGAAGGAAAACCTGAGAGTTTCCAGGTAGTAACAACAATGGCTTAAATAAAACAGAAAAACAGATCAACTCCGTCTTACCTGGACCCTGATGAATGACTTATTCTTGTTCTGTTTTGCAGATTGGCATTAATATTACAGAAGCCAGGCAGCTTGTGGGGGAAAACATAGATCCCAGTGTAGTGATTGAGATTGGAGACGAGAAGAAACAGACATCCGTCAAGGAAGGAACAAACGCTCCGTTTTACAATGAGGTCAGATGAAACTGGTGGAGCTGAGAAACAGCTTTCCAGAAACTGTGTGGGATGAGCAGTGGTCAGATTGAGCATCAATATTGGTTCATAACCTGCCAACATAAACTCCACATTAATACATCACAAATGGATAAGTAGGCAATATGTTACTGGTTAGATTACGTCACTGCAATCCTAATGTTCCTAACACTTACATTAAATACATTTACCAGAATAAGTCTTTTTTTAATTGTGTGGGCGTGTCCTCAGGTGTTATGAAACACTATGCTGAATGTGTTTGGTCAGCTGATTAGTAAAAAAGATTATATAGTAAATTCTAAAATGTGCATCTTAAATATCTATGTTGAAGACTTCACCTCAAACAATTTAAGATCTCTACTTAAAGTTGGCATTTTGGAAGCTGAACTGTGTATTTTTTTCTTGTCAGTTTGTCTCGTCTGTTGGTGTGTCTTCTTTTTTTCCGTTTTTTTTCCTGCTCTGCTGCTATATTTATATACATGTACATAAGTGGACATGTTCATCAAGAGATATTTTAAAAAGCTGGTAGAAAAACTTCATAAGGGCTAAGTGAGTCATTAATAATTTAACTTTATAACTGAAACTTTTTGCTTCATCTCATTTCTCTTTCCATCAGTATTTCGTCTTTGACTTCTTTGCCCATAAAGAGATCTTCTTTGACAAAGTCATCAAGCTGACGGTTGGTAATAACATGAGAATAAATGCAACTTCCCACTTTAATGCTGATTTTTTTTTGGGGGGGTACTGTTCTTATTTCTATTTCTATAGGTTGATTTTGTGGTGGATTTTTTGGTCCTCTGCAGGTTGTTCACTCAAAGATGCTGAAGACGTTCTCTGTGGGGTCCTTTAAACTGGATGTTTGGACAGTCTACAAACAGCCAGGTCAGTCATGTTTGATGATTTAGAGCAGGGGTGTCAAACTCCAGTCCTTGAGGGCCACTGTCCTGCAGTTTTTCGATGTGCCACAGGTATAAAACACAGGAATGAATTGGCTTAACTACCTCCTCCTTGTGTAGATAAGTTCTCCAGAGCCTTGCTAATGACCTAATTATTCTATTCAAGTGTGGTGCGGCAGAGGCACATCTAAAATTTGCAGGACACTGGCCCTCGAGGACTGGATGTTGACACCCCTGATTTAGAGAAAGTCTATTGCAGAGTGTCACAACACTTCCTCATTGGCTCCTGATGGAAATTAGAAAGATAAACTGAATAATTGTGTTTATGCCTTGCTTTCTCAGGTCATCAGTTTGTCAATAAGTGGGCAATGTTGACCAATCCTGGTGACATAAGCACTGGTGTCAAAGGATATGTTAAATGTGACATCAGTGTCTCATCTAAAGGTGATGCCGTGCAGCCGGGGCAAAAAGCAAGTGATGCTGAAGAACAGATAGAAAAGTATGAAGCACCTCTGACTTAGTGTTTTAGACACGCTCATCACACTGCAGGCTGAATGCTGTGTGTTGCCTTTGGAGATTAAATGTTGTTTGACTGGTTTGGAAAAATGTTGTCTGTCATTAGGAACCTCCTGATCCCAGAGGGGCTTCCCTCTGAACGGCCATGGGCCCGTTTCTGTGTGAAGGTGTACCGAGCCGAAGGTCTCCCTCGGAACAACTCCAGCATCATGGCCAATGTCACAAAGGCCTTTATAGGAGACAACACAGCACTCATTGATCCATATGTTGTTGTAAGCTTCTTCAAACAAGTGGTGAGCTGAATGTTTCTTCCATTTAAAAGTTCATCTGGAGCCACCTTGAACTGAGACATGAGTCTGAGTTAAGTTCCATGTTTTGGGGAGTTGGATGCAGAGCCACCACTTCTCTTTATTGAAAGGCCTCAGTAGAGACGGTTCAGGTTTCTGAGGTCAGTTACCAGGCCTCAGATTAGTGGAAGAAAAAAATGTAACGGTTTCTGTCTGCAGATGGTCAGTTCCCAGTCAACTTCACAGCATAGATGCGTTGACTCTATAAAACAGTGTCAATACCACTCAGTCTTATAGAGCAAAGTGTATGGAAGATCAAATCTAGACTAAGTTACACAGCTCTCACATATTATCTGTAAAGCAAGATTCAGAATAAAGGATAGTTGCAGTCATGGTATTCAATGACAAACAGTGATCACTATAGTTGTGTTTGTCTCAGGGTCGCACATCCACCCAAAAGTCTTCAGCAGACCCTGTGTGGAATGAGCAGATTGTCTTCACTGAGATGTTTCCTCCTTTGTGTCAGAGATTAAAGATCCAGGTACGAAAGCTTGATACTGCTAATTGATTCAGCGTTCTGAAAAAGTGTATGCAGGTGGAAATTCCCTATAATTTTATATTCATTTTCCTTAAAGGTCTGGGATGAGGGGAGCATGAATGATGTTGCCATAGGAACCCATTATTTTGACCTAAGACGTATCTCCAATGAACAAGATGGAGACAAAGGTGAGAAGAACTGAAGATCTAAAGCAGGTCTGAAGGTTGAAAGGAAATGCAAGTGTTTAATCATGATAAGGTTTTTCTTGTTTACCTCATGTTTTTAGGCTTTTTACCAACTTTCGGTCCTGCTTGGATTAATCTGTATGGCTCAGCTCGAAACTTCTCTTTGGGTGATGACACAGGGGAACTCAATGAGGGCATTGGCGAGGGAGTTTCCTTCAGGTTCTTAGAAAGATATATATTTATTTCTGTATGACACATTGCAACTAAAATGAAGTGTCTTCTTTTACCTGATGTATATGCCCTGGACGGTGTGCTTGTGATTTTAGGGGTAGGGTCTACTTAGAACTGACAGTAGAGATTCTGTCTGGGGGCACAGGCTCAGACTCCAAACTCAGTCGGATGATTAAACCTGTCAAAGACACAAAAGCAGGAAAAGGTGGTGGGAAGGATGCTAAGTCTTCTGGTGGAGGCGGAGCAGGAGGAGGTACAGGGGCAGCTGATGATGACAAAGGAAAAGCAGGAGCAGCAGAGGTCCTGCCTGTTGATCCTCCTCCGGTGGTAAGAAAAGGCCTTTTGCTTGTTCCAAAAATAGGTATCTATTTAAAAGCAGCAAAATGAAATTGTACCAAAATTGTACCATTAATTACTGTAAGTTAGTTGATGAAGCTCAAGTTTGAGTGCTTCAGCCTATAAGACAGACTAGGTCCTATAGCTTAAAAACCTTTTTAAATAAAAAGACAGTTGATAAGTGTCAAAACGCAGATTATACATGCCTAATTTCATAAAAAAATGAAATTAGGCATGTGTAATCTTTTAGATTAGATTTACTTCATCATGCATCAGTGTAAATATTGTTATTTAAACTGAGCAAGTACTTCTGATTCTAGCCAACTGAAGATGATGAGACCTTCCTGCTTTTTGGTGCTTTGTTTGAGGCCACCATGATTGACCGTAAGATTGGAGACAAGCCCATCAGCTTTGAGTTCTCCCTCGGTGAGCCACAATAAAACCCCTTTTCTCTCCATTGTAAAATATACTTGAGGCAAAAACAAAATAAATGTATTCGGTTGATTATTTATTAATTGTAACACTGTTGGGGTGAGCATTGACATGTTGGGTCACTGGTACCAGCAATAGGTCCTTTCTTTACTTGTGCATCTTGTTTCAGGTAACCATGGTAATGTCTTAGAGTCTTCCGTCCAACCAAGTACTGCCAGTCCTGCAGTGACTCGGAGGAGAAAGGTGCTGGACATCCCGGACAGCAGTGACATTTTTGGCTCCTCCCTCACCCACCCATCCTCACCTCTCCTCCCCAAAGACCCCTCTGATTCATGCAGAGCATTAAAATCTACTACACCTCCGGAAAAACCACTCATCGTCGAGGGAAACAGGTAGGTTTCATTTGAACATGCTGCTCAACAGTAGAGATTGTCATCTGCAGTTCATCCACACTGCTTGAAAACTTAACAAACTGCTTCTTAAATGAGCTTAAATTGGACTTATTTGCTTCTTCTTCTGCTGAAGCTTTTTAACACAATTTCATGTATTTCCCTCTCATAAACACGGGTCTGTTAAAGAATTAGAAAATCTTCTCAAAATTTTTCTTCATACTTGACATGATGAAAAACTCATCAGGAGGACAAATAAGAATCAAGCTTTGCCGGCTTCTCAAATTGATGGGTAGCTGACCATCATCTGTTGTTATTATCAAAACAAACTGTAATCCTGGGTCACGCACAGTATGTGGAATATGTGTTCAGTGTTTTGTACATCGATCAAATGTTCATCTTAACTCTGCATTATGCCTGTGTGTGGTTACGTTCAGATACTACATGTATTTACCTCTCGAGAAGAAGAAGCCCTGTGCCAGTGTTGTGAGCTCCTGGGAGGACAGAACCTACCGGTTCTACAACTCCAATATGCTGGAAAATATTGCTGTGCTGTTTGTAAGTAGAAACACATACACATGTGAACACCTACACACACAGCAGCACACACATAAAATGTTTTTATAGCTTCACAAGGTCGTTGCTTTGACTTCCATTCGTTTTTTATTTATTTCTACAGCCCAGCCCTGATCCTTACTGTCAACCTAACTGTTACCCTAAACCTAAACCAGACCTAAACTCATACCACACTTTACACAAGGGAGGAGATGCAAGAACAATCATTTGCTTTTTCCCAGCCAAACAACCTGCAAAATTCACACATAAAATTCAAATACTGAGCTTATACATGTGACACGACACAAGAAAGTTGAAACATTTTCAGCTTTAGTTTTCTTTGCTGTCTGTTCCTTGTATTGGGATCACCCCAACTGAAAATTGGAGGAAAATTTATATTTTTTGCTTCGTTTGTCCCTCCCTGTAGGTGCAAACCTAACTGCTGACCCAAAAACATGACTGTTCCTTATGGGACCTGGGCCCCATGAGGAGCACACACAAACACACGCCCACACACGACCACGCACACACACCACCTCTCACATGTGTTTCATCTTGTTTATATCAGAGCCCATTTCTAAGTTTCTTTATTTGTTTGTGATACTGAAGATGCACCACTTTAGTGACTCAAAGATGAATCAATCTGTGGGACTGGAGGTTTTAATAACAACCCAAATAATAAACATAGATTTGTTTTTACACATATCTTAACTTGATAAGTACACCCGAAATAAAGAAACAAGTGCATCAACTGCTCTGTAAGGATCATCGATTTCTGAAAACTGCAGTGTTTTAAATTTAACAGTCTCCTTGTAATTATTCTCTGCCATTGTGTCCTACAGGAGGAGGGTGTGTGTGTTGCTGCTGACCTTCATAAGAAGCTGGACCCAGCAGCTGAGGCAGCTTTAAGAACTGTGCTCAGAGAGTTTTGTTTGGATGCCAGGTAATTCCAGCAGAGCTCTCACTGCTCCTTTGGAAAGCAGCAGAAGAGCATCTGAGGTTTGCAGCAATGAATCATTTCATTATGTTTATCCACCATGTTGGATAGCAGAGTTTACCTATTAATGTATTGTTCAACACTAAATCCAAATATTTCTAAAGTGATTCTCAGACATTTAATTTTATAACTTGCAAATTTCCACACCTGTCAGGTATCAAAGAAAAAATATCAGATGTTTGTGATATTTTACAGTCATGTAAAATATCACAGAAGTCACCTCAAATTATAATGGAACCATTCTGTAAAAATACTGACTTTCTTTAGCACAGAAATGACAGTGAGGAGAGGAACAACTTTAATACACATTTTATTCCCACATTACAATTCTTATAACATTAATCCCTTTCCAGCCTTTCAATTTACTCCTGGCAAATCATCACCAGATAAGTTTGTATTTTTATCCATTTTAGGACTTTGAATTGACATCAATTTATTTATGCTACTGCATTTTTCAACCTTAGTCATTAACAGTGGCAATAATTTTGGTTAATGTAACATAAATCTGGTTGCTTCTCCTTCACTGTTTACTGCTGTTGCTCCACCACTAATTAAAACACAACAACCAGACACCCTTCTTACAACATTCATTGAGTTAATCAACAAGCAAACCACCTGTAGCTGTCACAACCAAAAGTGTTTTTTAATGGGTTTCTAGTTTTATAGTGGAGGAATTTTGTTCTGCTCTTCAACATGAATTGTGTGTTTTACAGGGATTTTATTGCCGCTGCAGAGGCCAAACTGAAAGCAGAGCTGAAGAGCAGCTACCTGACAATCCTGGACAAGAAACGTTTGACCATGTGCAAACAAGAGCTGGTGAGGCTGGCAGCACCTCCTGAGGGAAGGTTTATCTAGATACAACGAAAAATCTTTGAGTTTTAATCAACTGATGCCAGAATCATACCTTTTAATTTAGTATCTGATTAATAATTAGGATTTACTCCTGGGCAAAACATGACCATATATGGTCATGGAAAACAGTCACCCTCTCTTGCAGATTTCTTCAAGTTTCTTTTTTATTTTCACTGTTAAATACTTGGTATTTGGGCCTATGTGTTGCTTGTGGTCTGTAGTGGGTTTGTCTCGGAACTCCCCAATGGGTGTCATTGTTTACTAAGAATGTTCACAAACTTCTATTTGAGACTTAATAATATTGCAACTATTATTAGTCCATAACATTATTTTTCCTTTTATGAAGAATAGATATAAAAATAATGGGCTAAACCAAAATACATTTTACAACATTTTGCTTACATTAAAAGTATAAGCATAAAAGTTAATCAAAGTAGACTGAGAAAGTAATTCATTTATAATACATAGGCCTGTCGCAAAAAACGATAAAGCAATTAATCACACGATAAATTAAAACTATCGACCTTATTTCAATTATCGGCTATATTGTTTCTTCCTGCCTTTACTGTTGATCACACTGAATGAAAAAAATCTCAACTCCGGTGCTCTCCACTAACCCTCCCTTCCTTATTTCCTTAGTGTGATGCCCAGCACGCACTGCACGATCTTATTTTACTAATTTTGAAACCAGGCCAATAACGTACAGGTGCACGGGGAACCACCCTCCTCCAGAAGGCTCCCCGTGGCTCCCTCTGGTGGACAAAACAGCTCCCTACAACTCCAGCATCCAACACATATTTTATTACATTGAAGCGTAGCTTAATTACAAACATTTGCATAGAAGGAGTGGCAAACACAATACACATTCTCAAGGTACTGTCTTTGCATCTCCTGAGGTTACAGTTGTTTGTTGTCGCTCTGGACCATAAAACTAGAGTTTCTTGGGACATCTAGCCTTTGATCCACTCTCCTGCTAGGTGTCAACTCTTTCCCCCTGGTTGGCATCTGTGGTCCTTTTGTCCTCCTGTCAGGGCAATTGTGACTGCAAGAATCCTGCTCCGTTCCCGGGATTCTCTGGTTCAGTTCTCGTCCCCCTCTAGGGTCATAAAATTCAGTTCCTGAGACTCTGGGTTGTATGCAAACGACCCATTCTTCCTACCAGGCTAAGTGTCACCCTCGCCATCCGTCTCCAAAGTGACAAACTCATTGTTTTCTTCAAAGATAAAAGAAACACAGATCCCAGGGGCAAACAAAGGTTCCTCAACCCTTATTGTCTCCTAATCTCGAATATTATATTTGTATTTATATCCTATTTAGGTCACGTTAACGAAGAAGTTGTTAACGTGACCAAAGTAGGTTATAGGCTAATGATTTTTCTTCGGAAGAACAGCTGAAAAGTTACCGTGTTTTCTGGTAGAAATTTCGCTCCAACTCCTCCCCTAGTTATTTATATTTTCTTTGCATGAAATGTTGAATAAACATTAATTTTTCCACTTATCATCGCCGATGTCTGCTGGACTTCGGGTTGCACCGTGTCAGCTATTCGGGATTCCCTCCGTGTTTCCCCTCAGAAAGCACGGAGGAGAATCCACGCTTTCTGATTGGCTCCCGATCACATTCAACAGGCTGTGTTAAGCTCCCAGTCTGGGCAAATCCTTGATTTAGATCGGAGCGGCCACGACGATCTACCTAACACACAACACAATTTGTGTTGTGTGTTACCCCCGAACGACAGTTCTAAGACTTTCGTTCGGGGGTAAAAAAAATCCTGTAGTATTACATCAGGCAGTCGGATGTGCCCCTCTTCTCTATTTAAATCTAATGATTACTGAAGGGCAATGTACTATACAGACTTCATAATCTGCACTCTTTTGGTTGAATGCAGTATTATTTCCTCTTTGGCTTTGTGTTGTTTAGTTTTTATTCAAGTATATTTATTGTTAATGGAGACTGAGAATCTATTTTATGTTTGTTTTTGGTTGTTTTATTTATTTTGTACATCAGTCCCAGTGTCAAGTGTTCTTTGGCAGGAAATTGCATGTATTATTACGTAATTTCCATTAAATCAGTGTAAAAAGGTCTTCAAACAATATTATCGATTATCGCAATAATTTTTTGAGACAATTAATCGCCCAGCAAAATCTGTCATCGTGACAGGCCTAATAATACATTCAGAGTATTGCTTGCTTAATTGCAGCGCAGTTAGAGTGTAGTGTCTCTAGTGTGTAGATAACAGGCTCAGCTAAATGCCACTCCCCGTAGAGGCAATCAATAAACTAATAAAGCATTTAGACGTGCTAATTTCAGTAAGAAATTTGTAGTAGCCTTTTTGGGTTTTTTTTTTCCAGAGCTGTAGTTGCAGTACAGTAACATGAATATTGTATGTCTGTGCTCAAGTTCAAATAGTTGGTCATTTCTAACTTTTTCATTTGCCAATATTATTTTCAAAAACTTACATTGCTGAAAGTCAGCTGAAGTGTCAATTTGATCAACTAATCAAAACTGCCTCCAGCTATAATAATCAATAAAAAGGTCACCCTATGCTGGATCTCTGTAGATTTTCCAGGATATTCCCTCCATCCATCCATCCATTTTCTGAGCACCCTTCTCTCTAATGGGGTTGGGAGGTGCTGGTGCCTACCTCCAGTTGCGTTCCCGGCGAGAGGCGGGGTACACCATGGACAGGTCGCCAGTCTGTCGCAGGGCATCAGGATATTCTCCATGTCTAAAGTTTACCAAGACCTTTTAAAGACCTTTTGGCACCTAAACAGGAGTTCACCTAAATAGCAACATAGAGGGTCAAATAAGTAGTTCTTCTATTGCGGTCAGACTGAATAAGTATGACTTTAATAGCTCTAAAGTAATGTTTTATTGGACAACAGGTCAGTATGGACTTACTGTGTGTTCTCCAGCAAAATGTTTTGGCAAAGTATTAATAGAACACCGCACATACATGTGTGTTGCAGGAGAGTATCGTAGGAGAGGCTGTGATGCTGGGAGAGAGGAAAACAGCAGCAAGAGGAGTGAAAGAAATGCTACAAGAATCAACTAAGCTAGCACAAAAACTACGTTTCCTTGTGGAGGAGGTGAGAAAAGTTTTAACAACGTCTGACTGATATGTTTACTACAGTATCCTAACTTTTCTTTATCACATACACATCCTCACATTGCAGCCCCAGCACACAGTCCCAGACATGTTTGTGTGGTTGCTAAGCAATAACAAACGTGTTGCATATGCCAGACTTCGAACCAGAGATCTGCTTTACTCCAGCAACCGGGAGGCCAGAGGAATTCTCTGTGGGAAGATAGTAACACTGTATCTGAAGGTTAGAACATGCATAGTACACTGCTCCTTTAATTGCTGCACAATTGTCCATAGGGAAAAAATATAAATTCTGTATTTGTGTGTATGCAGCCTCCAGGTAGGCGACCTGCAACATTGTCAGTCCAAGCCAAGCTGGATGTGTATTTGTGGTTTGGAGCTTGCTCAGACTCCAGCCATATGCTGGATGACCTGCCTGCAGGATACAGACCAGCCACAGGGGGCGCCGACAGCAACAGCCCTCCTTCTTACCTGCTTTGCATGGGTAAGGAAGAAGCGCCTCTTGTCCATTGTTTAATAATAGATTGATCAGAATTTTTTCTAGCTGAATGCGACAGAGAGAAGTCAGAGTTTTTGGTCCTAGTAAGCAATCTTAGAGAAAAATACAGAAAATGCCAGAAACCTAGTTCTGGTCTGTCATAGCCTTTTACTTTCCTTTACTAATTTGGGACACCTGAATTGAGGACCTAGTGAGGCTCTCATACCACTGATTACTGACTCTCTGCTCTGCTCAACAAATATCTGTCTTTTAATCACACATTCTAACACTTTCACTTAAATCTTCCACTCATACACACCATTCACCACTGATATCAGTTCCAAACATCATGTTTGAAACTTTAATTTTCTCACATGGTGCTGAATAAACCCTTACAGATGTTGTGACCTCCGATGAGCCAGGACATTAAAAAGAAATCTAAGATACAAATTTCTATTATCTTAAAAACATTGTTAGAATTGAATGATTTCTACGTCATCTAAACAATTATTGCTTTTTGAGGACTGTAGCAAGACATGATCGGTAACACAGCTTGGAGGTTTCTTGTTCGTTCTAAGAGCTTCATCAGATGAATGTCAGTGCAGAGCTTGTGGATGGACCTGCTGTGTTTGTTTCTGCAGAGCAGCACAAGTTCCAGCTGCGGTGCCACATGTATCAGGCTCGAGGTCTGATCGCTGCAGACAACACGGGGTTGTCAGACCCATTTGCGCGAGTCACATTTCTCTCACACAGCCAAACCACCAATGTAAGAGTGTGTTTACATGTATTGTTGGACCCAGCTCATATGACTGGGGTTTTCTTGGCAACCTGACTTAAAACACTATAAAATCAAACTAAACTGAAGAGTATATTTTGTTCTAAACTGTGCAGGTTTAGAACAAACTTGTTGCGGTATTTCTGCTCTTCATGTCTGACTTCGGTCTTCTTGTTTTGTGTGTGTTGTCAGATCATCAGTCAGACTCTCAGTCCTACATGGAACCATTGTTTGCTAATGAGCTCCCTTCTGTTAAGTGGAGACCTGCAGCACATCCAGGAGGAGCCTCCTCACGTTGTTGTTGAGGTTTATGATGACGACGCTCTGGTAATCCCACCACAAGACACACGATTCAGACGAGTCTCTTAGTTTCTGCCATCTCTGAATCCCTCCCTGCTCTGTGCTCTGTGCAGGGAAAAGCAGAGTACCTGGGAGCCACAGTGGCCGTCCCTGAGGTGCGCTTGGCCTCTGAGTTGTACACTCCCCTATTCTGCAGTACAGCCCACTTCACTGTGGCAGCCAGTCAGGAGGAGACCTGCTGGCTGCATTTGAACTGCTGCAGGTTAGTCTCTCTGGTCACTCTCATGCCAAAGTTGTATGAAACGGTGACAATAGTTATACAGAATCTTATTTCCATGGATACGAACAAATCCATGAATAACAGTAAGGAGCAGTACTCCTTTAATTTTTTTCACCATGATTATCCAAACATCTTGTGAATAAGAGAAATGTTTAGAAGAGACTGGTAGTTGTCCCAAACAGATACAGGAAGGGTCAGCGACTCCAGACAGTGACAAAATTCCACTCTGGAACTTTGTCTGGTATCTCATAAGCTGGGTTTTCATTAGAAATGTGAGTAAACCTTTTTCTGTATTCCACTAATGCTGATAAAACACAATTTGCAATCACAGTCTTTCCATTAAATAATAAACTAAAATCATAGGTGAATAAGCTTGATCATGCAATAAGTCAGTGCTTCTCAATTATTTTTCGTTACGTCCCCCCTAGCAAGAAGAAAACTATTCGCGCCCCCATTCCCACCGTGACTATCCATCTCTGCATAACATTTTTTCCTTATTAACATTTTTTTCGCTGAAAAAACTCTAGCGGCTTATCGGCGTGATTGGGATGTAACGTATTTAAGTGACGCGCTAATTTATTTGGCTTCATGCTGTCCGCTGCGAGCATTTTTAGACACAGCAAACACACCGGTCTTTCCTCTTCTCCAACTGTAGTCACAGTGAAGCCAAGCGCTAAATACGCTTCGTCGTATTTCCTCTTCTTAGCTTTCGGTTGACTTTCTGTTGTCTCATTATCTTTGTCTCTCTCCGCGTTTCTTTTCATCCCTGTGAAAAACTTTTTCATGTTGGGGGTTGTTGAATAACGGAGGCCATAGACAGAACGCAGTCAGAGCTTTTTGTTGACTTAACACTGCTAACCAAGGCAAACCTGTTGTCTTGTAAGTCATGAAATGTTGCACTGTCGCAAACGTGACAGAAGTAACAATGAGAGCGCCACTGCCGCCTACTGCGCAATTACACTTTATACTAGTACGGCCAAAAAAAAAGACTGTTCCCCAGTATCACACGCGCCCCCCAGGTATCGCACCGCGCCCCCCAAAGGGGGCCCGCCCCACTATTTGAGAAGCACTGCAATAAGTCATTACACATCATGGTAAAGATGGATGTAATCATTCACATGTGTTCATAATTCAGTCATGGTGTTAGTGCTCATCCTCTTTCAGCCATCTGAGTGGATGTCAGCGTCTTATTCAGGTGTTGGAGCGACAAACTCCTTATACATTGGAACATCTACGCATGCAACGTTTTGGGGAAATTGCAGTCTGTAATTTCACAGAATTGTGAAAGTTGTGTGTCATCATGTTAGAATGACACAACTTTCTGTGAACTGTGCAGTGTTGTGAAAGCTCTGGAGGAGCCGGCTGCACATCTTCAGAAAAACTATTGACTTACTACTTCTCGTCTTCTTTGTCGTTTTCACCAGTAGTAACATGTGATGTGACATCACACAAGTCAATCAGACGTCACTGGTGTGATGTGATAAAAATGTTTCCATTGCAGTTTTGCAAAATATATCTACTTCAATGATGCCAAAAAAAATCACCTCATTCAAGTGCAACAATATTTTATTAACTAATGTTGATAACATTTTTTTTAAAATTGTTGTTCATTGAAATTCATTTTTATTTTTTTCAATTTGCACAATTATAAGGTTAATGGAAATGCCAGGTCTAGACAGAACTTGAGACCTTATACATGTATATCATGTTTTTAAAAAAAAGAAAAAAAAGAACTTTTTAAAACTAACTTCAACAGAGATAACTGGCTCACGCCATTGTGATCATACTAATCCAGAATGAATTTCTCCATCTTCTAGATTTCAGAGTTTGGCCAGATGAGTCTGCCAGAGTTAGAAGAACAGGAAGGAGGCATTTATACTGTTCCTGCCAACATCAGGCCAGTTCTCAGCACCTACAGGCTGGAGGTTTGTCAGCTTCAATCATGAGGCATTGAGAGGATCTTTAGAATGTCCTTTTAGAACAGATGTTGATATTTCCCGTTAGGTTTTGTTCTGGGGACTGAGGGAGCTAAAGAAGGTTCAGCTCCTGTCTGTTGATCGGCCACAGGTCTGAGAAATTCACTTACTTGGGAACCAGAATAATATTTTTCATTGTCATAATTTTTGCATTTAGTGTGTTTCCTAAATTTATAACAAAAAAATGTTCCAACGAATATGCTTTTGGAAAAAAATGACTTTTAGGTGTTCATCTTTTCCAGGTGTTCATAGAGTGTGCAGGTAAAACTCTGCGTTCCTCAGTCATCCAGAAGTACAAATCCAACCCAAACTTCACCACACTGTTAGATGCCATAGAGTTGGTAAGATCAACACCTGCAACATACATAAACTATATTAGCACAGCAGCAGAGCTTCAGAACTTAGTTGATCTAGAAGGAACACATCATGTTGGGCGGAATGTCAAAACATTCTAATTACAAAATCACTTTCAAACATAAATGATCAAGTTAATGTCACTGAGTGAAATAACTATTTGATCCATTATAACCCAAGCAGAATTGTGGCTTCTGTAGATGGGCTGTGTTCCCATTTGATGCACAGATCTAGCAAACACAAATATGGTCTGTACAGTACAGAATACTGTCTCTTCCATTCCAACCTCACCACAATCTGTCAAAGGACATCAGGGACGAGATCATTCTCTCTCAGTCAAAAGAAGCCTTCTCTGAAAGATGTTGGTCAAATACACAAGACAAGCAAAGTAATGGGAGGGTCACTTGAGAAAGGAAAGAAATTAAGCTTCCACAACTCCTGGAAATCCATGTTAGATCTTACCCCACTGTGTTCAGATGATGATGAGAAAAGGCAAGGATCAGCCTACATACCGACAGACTGGAGGCCAGTGTGCTTTAACTCTTGCTTTAACAGTTTTTTTTATATTTTTGTTGTACTTTCTTGCACATTGACAATCAAAGGAAATCTAATTCTTGGTGATCATAGTCATCAAGGGTTATTATGATGACTTAGGATAAGACGATTGACCTGTATTGTAAAGTGCCTTGTGACAATGTGTTGTGAACTAGTGCTTTGTAAATAAAAATAAAGTGAGTCTAATTGGTACCTTACTGTAAGACAAAAACTTTGCTTTTGTCCTAATGTCAAACATATACTGATATGTTACAAACATATCAGTATATAATAGGTTTCTTCTATAGTACATGTTGTAGAAGGCACATGTACATCTAAAACCTCTTTCACAGAACACTCTAATGCAGTGGTGTCTCTGCTTCAACACACATGGCTCAAATGTCAGCTCATTAGCAGAGCTGTGTGGCAGCATGCTATTGAGTCAGTTTAGCCGTGTAATCAAACAAAATGTGTTCAACAAAGATCTGAAAACTGCAGGACTCTGGTCCCGAGAATTGCACTGCTTTGTCTACTAGCCATCTCCATTGATGAATGTCTGATGGCGTTTTTGCTGTGACATTGTACTGCTCTTTATCCCCTGCACTGATACACTTATTGAGCACTTTAAATTTCTTTGTCCACTTTGTTGTGCGGCAGGAGTTACCAGAAAACGAACAGCTCCATCCTCCTCTCAGCATCACAGTCGTTGACTGGCGGGCCTTTGGCCGCAGCACACTGGTTGGAAATCACATCATCAACAACCTCAAGGCCTTCAAGTACACTCTCCCTCCCTCTCACGCAGTTCAGTTACACAAACCACCTGAGGTCACACAAACCCCAAGACTCTCCCTGACACAAGAGCCACACAGTGTGAAGGGTAATGATTGTTTATAACTGTGTTCAGTTTTTATTAGCTGTCAAAGCGGTTCATTCCTTATCATTTTCCAGCATGTTTATAATAAAAGGCCACCACTTTGAAGATAAAGAACTTGGATTTTATGTGAAATAACTGAACAGATAACTGTTAAAAAACAAAATACCTTTTAAAAAAAGTTATCAGACATTTAATGACATGCAAAATAAAAAAAAATCATGACTAAATGGACGATTTAAAAAATCACAATTCCAAAATGACGACAAATGTAAATAAAAATAAGTCAGTTATGAAAATGACAATAACTGTTCCATTTTTTCAACAGGACCAAAAATGACCCAGATTTGATCAGAAAAGAGCCAACAAGATTTAGATAAATGTTGTTTCTTACACTTGTAGTTTTGGTGTTATTTTCAGTTCAGCTTTCATTCATATTACAAAAGAAGATTCATAAATTCATTCAGTCATTCTAAGAGATTTGTTCCAGTTTTGATTTAAGTAAAACCTGTAAAGAGAATGAGGAAGTTTCTTCTATCCATCGTATTGAGTAAGATACAGATCCAAACATATCTGATTAGAATTGAGTGGACCCATATAACTGGTTATGACCTGGAGCTGTTGAGATGGCATTTGTGGTATAGAAATAGAAGTGAACTGAACTGTGGTTGACAGGGCTGTTTCAGGATGCTATAGAGACCCGTTCGACTGTGACTCTGACTAATCAGGACTTCCTCATTACTATGGAGGATGAAGCTCTGCCTCCAGCTCCACCCACACCAAAACCACAAGCCAAGAAGAAAAAGGTGAAATTTATATGCAAAAGAACCAGTGGTTATTTTACTTGCACAAACTCCAAAATTGATCCTTTCTGAATATATTTCAAACAGGAGAGCAGCTCAAAGAGCATCCACCGGTCCACTAAGAGGAGGAGGCGAACCATCGCTGATGAGACTGTAGAGTCTGTCATTGACTGGTGGTCCAAATACTACGCTTCTGTGGACAAACAGGTAACTGACTGCCAGATTTGTGCAGAAACATTAATTTAATCATTTTAAGAGATGTTAATTTGTCCTGCCATTTGTGTTTATTCCAGGCTAAACAGAAGGACAGCTTCCAACTACCTATTGTGTTTGACAAAGGTAAGACATTTTCATCTACAACCAGTATCTTTGTTTTATGTTGCCGGGACCAAAATATTTCAATCCACCTGGTAATGAAAGCTCTCATATCAGAAGCATGTACTGTTTGGTTGACTGATCTCTCCAGATATCTGTTAGGCCATTTTGACATCATGCAGATGCTTTTGTAACACTCACGACGTGTTAACAGTTAAAACAACAATAATAGGACCAGTGCTAGGTTCGGCTTATTATTAGTTGAAAAAAAAAAAAAAAAAAAAAAAAGAACAATAGACAATATAAATACAATTGACAAACAATAACACAAAATCAATTCAAAATAATTTCCTGTTCTTCCAGAATAATCCCTGTTTGAACTTTTAAACCTAATGTTACGTTTTAAGGGATGCTGTTTATTTAACCTAAATTGTAGTTCTAATTTAGTTCTAGCTAAGAAGGTTAATCTAATTAATTTTATTCTTTTAAAATCTATTTAAGGTGTTTAGTTTTATTTTAAGAGATTATGATATACAAATATATTTTTAATCTCCTATTTTAACTAACTGCTTTCTATTTTCACCCAACAAAAAAAATGTACAATCCACACCAATAATGTGCGTGAATACAATTCAAAAGGAAAAAATAAAACACAATATTAATAATCCAGTAAAATACTGAACAACTTGTGCTCCAATCAGTCTTTCCTTGGGGTGATTTTGAAGGGTTGATTCTGGTTCTCTGGATCCGCTTTTCTGGGTTCCTGGGTCAACGGCTCGCCATCGTAGTCCAATTCGGCAATTTGGCTCGGAATTCCCGGTCCGACTTGAGTAGAACTTCATAAAAGGCCTGGTTTAATAACCACAAGCACAAAAGTCCCTTTAACTTTTCTGTGTGTCGCGCAAAGCAACACACTAGCCAACTCGCTCATTTGTTACATTAACTGATTAATCGGATAAAGAAGTCTGCACTTTTTTATACATTAATTAATTCAATAATGAAAAATGTTATTGTCTAAAATACAACAACAGCCTTTCTTTTGTGAGAACTTAATCATTTGTCACATGTGATGCATCAGCAGCTGCTCCAGCATCCGCCGGTGGGTCTCCCCCTGCTTCTCCACTAACTTATCGAGCTGTGTTGGGTTAACAAAGAACATCTGGGTCATCAGCCTCTCCAACCATAACGCGGTCATTTGAAGGATTATTCCTCACTGGCATGGATAATCTGCTTTCTTGGGGATTTTCCTGTCAAGACTCCTACAAGCTAAACAGTTTTTTTTTTTTTTGTTGAGTAACTATGGTTACATATGTTTTCGACTGGTTGCAGCCAAAGAGTGGCTTCCAACGTATACTAACGGAAATACGTTGCTCCGTTTTTTCCGTTTCGGTCAATAGATTAACTTTACAAATAACATTTATCACAGAAATAAAATACAGTCTTTCACTCACCAAGTCCAACAGACAACACTCTTAAAAAAAACTCCTCCAAAAATGAGGAAAAAGTTTTCAGCTATTCGTAGCCTTGCTAATCGGCGGTTCGCTTTGATCTCCCTTAGCTCGGCACGACTCTTCGCTCCCTCGCTCTCTCTCTCGGTCTGTCTCTCTCTCTCTCTCGGTCTGTCTCTCTCTCTCTCGGTCTGTCTCTCTCTCTCTCGGTCTGTCTGTCTCAGGTGTCTGTCCTCTCTGTTTCTCTCTCTCTGACTGTCTCTCTCTCTGTCTCGCTCCCTTCCCCTAGCGCAGGGATGGGCTAGTCACCTTGACTACACGGTCATGTGACCCTTCAGAATAAGATACTTTTTTCTTACACTTGACCGTTCTAACTGCTGACAAAATAAATAAACTTCACACAGTTTCAAATAAAACAAAATAAAATACACGAATATAAATCACACTGTCTGTAACTTTTATTTTATTTTTTTATTATTATTTATTTATTTGAAACTATTTGCCCTATTTATTCTTCCTATTTACGCATTTTATAATTATTTATTATGAAATAGTAATTAGTTAATTCGAATGAAGGCTATTTTAACCTGGGTTACACTTTGGTCTACTGGTCTTCATTATTGCTGGATGTTCTGATTGTTACCAAGACAATGATTCTCTCTTCTTCTCTGAGCAACATTGACGAGAACACTGTGTAACAGTAAAAGATTTAGAGGTGTTGTCCCATACCTGTACCACACAGATCATTTTTAATACTAAAAACATTTTGTCTATCATTTAATAAAGTTGATTTATTGTTTGGCTATTTTACAGCCAAACAGTATTGCATAATCAAGTAACTGTGACCTAAACAAATGCTAAAATATAACTTTAAAACATTTTGACTTTGCAATTCAACAGCTTGAAATTGAGCCACTGTCTCTTTAAGAAGCTCCTGTTCTTTCGGAGACTCTGCTCTCAGCAAGTCATCACATTAACATTATTTAGTATTTACAATTTACAATTGTTGTGGGAGCACTGGTTCATATAATGAGCTCTGCAGATGTGCGGTTTCATTTGTGTTTGCTAATCGTGCTGCTAGTTTGAAGGAGCTGAGTTGGTGAGTTGGGAAGGAGGTCGACTCTGTAAGGTGGAAGCTCGGCTTGGAAAATGTTCCAGATACAACTACCTGAAATGAGCTTTCCCCATTTGGTGGCTGTACCTTCCCATAGAAGTTCGAGGCAGGGTGATGATTGGGCCACTCAGGAGAATTTGGGGTAGAGCTGTTGCTCCTCTACATCCACAGAATTCAGTTCAGAGCTTTGGGTATCTCCCTCCTGAGCTGGAAGTTTTCCAAACACTTCCCATGTTTGCAAAGGGAACAAAAACATTGCAAGCAATCTCCAAGCATGTAGTGGATGTTTCCTGCTGAGGTGATCCAGGAGCAAAGCACCAAGTTCTATAATATGTTATCTTTTGTACTTAGCTTAAGTGATCCAACACTTTTGACACTTTTTGTCTCTTTCTTGGTAAAGGTTCTTTTTGTTCTTCCTCTTCTCTTTACACAGCTGGTAATAGCGCTTAGCATTCATCAACAGCTCAGCATAACACAAATTATCCGGCCAGAACATGGCACGCTAAATAGTAAAATATTATTTTATAAAGTCTCTGAAAGCACTAAGAAAGCTAAATTTTGTATTATTATTTTTCTCCACAGATTATCTGCCTCATACTAAACTGTCAGTTTTAGCAAAAATGTAAAGAAAATTATAAGCATGCCATACTGCAGTTTCAAATGACATTTTCCTGATTCACATGCTCAGTTTCTCAGCAGCAGCCAAGAGACTAGAGGCTACACTTTTTGGATCATTTAAGAAAACCAAAATTTTCCAACCCTAAATTAATGGAAATATTTCTTCAATAACACAGTTTTCATTTAGAACATCATGTTTTTAACCTCATGACATGTGATGAGGTGAATGTCCCCTGATCCACACTGTTGTGCATTGCAGCGTCACCATACCACAGCTTGCTCAGCGATGGAGTAGACTCCTTGGGTAAGGACTTTGACATGCAGTTGGAGGAGTTTCTTGTCATGCACAACCAGCATCTGGTTTTGTTCACTTCCTGGGAGAAATCTAATTCATGTCTCGCATGAATTTGATTTCGCTTGGCCACAGAATGACATCTGCAGGATTTGGGGACAAACTAAATCTTTTTGGTTTCTATGGATGCCATTCTGTTACTGAACAATCTGCATGGTATTTGTAGTTTTGTGGGCAGAGTTGTACACATGATGAATAAAAAAACTGGTTTGTTCTTCCACTTGAAGAGTCACGGTAAACTCTGGCAGGTCTGAGAGAGACTTTAATTATGTGCACGTCGTCGTGTTTGTTGCTGTGTTCTGCGTCAGTGTATGTCATTGAACACATCATGTGTGCTCTGCCGCAGTCAGCAGCCAATCAGATGGAGACAAGAAGAAGAAACAGAAAGGAAAGGAGACGCTGGAGCTCAACTATAGTTTACCTACTAAAATCGCAACACTTCAGGTAAAACACCAAGGACATAAGTACCAAGTTAAGTCTTTAGTTTATGCATAGAATAGCAATGAACTTACAATACAAAGGAAAACTTTTCAAAACAATATGAAAGGTTGCTTGTTCCATTGAATTTGAATGCATAGATTTTGTTACAGTTGTCTCTGAGCAGCACATAAACACCTCAAAGCAACTGTCAAGCACAGTGATGGAGGGATGATGATGTGGGCTTTGTTTTGTACTCACATAACCAGAGCAGCTTACAGTCATGAAGTTGACTGTGAATTCAGCGAGGAGAGATGACCATAAACTGGTTTTTTGAACAGGGCAGAAAATGAACATGGTCATTTATCAGAATAGCTTTTTACTTTTACACTAAAGTTGTGGCTGTTTTAAAATATTATCTGTAGCAATGTATACCTAAGACAAACAATCAAGTGTGATCATTCCCTAAGGACATTCCAAAATCCATGCTGTTTTTTCAGCACCTCTGATATCTTAAAGTTGCTTCCAAATGTTTGGCCTGAACTGACTATCAAAATGCAGCAACTGACAGAGTTAAGAACAAAATGTATGATTAAAACTGGTTCTGTTAGTTTTTCCCAAACATCTTTTGGTTTTAGATTTTGTTATATGTAATGCATCATTTCACTGAGGATGTACCATGCTCATTTTTTACCCATTTAGTCTTTATTGTTATTGTAACAATGAAACGTTATATATCAAAATGTTGGTGTAATTTCAGATAAAAACATCTCACTTAAAAAAAGACTATAAATAAATAATTTTCTCCCTTGATTAAAAAATAATTAAAAAAAAGACATAAAACTGGACAAGATCAAATTGACCACTTAGCAACATGAGAATGTTGAATGCTGAGTAAAAACTGCTCCTCAGTTTGTGTAGAATAATAGATTTCTGGTCCTGAAACATGAAACCGTAGATTTTTTTTTTTAACAGTTGCGGTTGTGATCTGGTCTGTGCAGCTGTACAGAAAGGAGCTGGAGGTACAGTTTGGTCCATTTGATGATTGGGTCAGCACATATGATCTGTTCAGGGGGAAGGCCAATGAGGAGGGAACATCTGATGAGAGATTTGTTGGGAAGTTTAAGGTGAGTTCCACTGCAGGTGCTGCTGCGAGACATGAATTAAAATACATGTTAAACTATTATTTTTAAATTCACTTAGGGTCGATTCTGCCTCTATAAGCTAAGTGATAAAGATGAGGAGGATGGGGAAGATGTCACAGACACAGGCCACTACAGGGTGAACAGAGGAATCCCCCCAAACACTTCAGTCCAAGTTCTCATCCGGATTTACATTGTCTCTGTGAGTCCAGCTGCGTCTGCTCTCTGTTTTTAAATGACATGAAGCTTTAGATCCTGCCGTCTTCTCAGGCATCCAACCTGCATCCAGCCGACCCAGATGGGAAGGCCGACCCTTACATTTTTCTTCGCCTTGGAAAAAATGAAATCAAAGACAGAGATAACTACATACCAAAAGAACTTAACCCTGTTTTTGGACGGTAGGTGACCGATCTACTGAACATCCGAACATTGTACAGTGGCTTCATGTTCTGAGACGGCTCTCTCCTCCAGATCCTTTGAAATGCAGGCGACATTTCCGCAGGAGTCTCTGCTGTCATTGCTCATTTATGACTTTGACTTGGTGGGAGGCGACGACCTGATTGGAGAGACTCGCATTGATCTTGAGAACCGGTTTTTCAGCAGGCACAGAGCTACATGTGGACTCCCTAGCGAGTACAGTCTGTAAGTTCAGGTACTTTCCTGGGGGGCAGAGTTTAGGTTGGAGTGTTACCTAGAGCCTGGTAGAGTACAGTACAGATACAGAGAAGTAGCTCTTCACCTAATCTGACACGCCAGGCAGGGAGAACATTAACCAGACAGCAGCCAGGAAATCCATGGTAACTCTGGAGGAGCTTCATAGATACACAGCTCAGGTAGGAGAATACATAGTGTTGAGAATATAAGTCTGGTTAGCATAACTTTAAAGACAGTCAATCTTTGTGCACATGAAATATGGGATCTAGTATGAACATTTTGGGTGGATTCTAGGTTAGGTGAACTTAGATAAAAATCCACAACTGGGGCAGTGGTTGACTCTCTGAACTCAAATAAATTACTAAAAACAAAATCTTAAATACTCTCCTTCAGACAGGGGAGTATCCAGGCACAGGAAGCCTACCTGTTATTAGAATCAACAAATTCTTTGGGGTGGTTCAAGAGTTCAGTGAAACATTAAAACTTTAAAAAGTTTCTCCAAAATATAATCAAACGTATTAAGACATTTTCTTAAGCATTAAACAGCATGTTTTGAATTAGTTAGTTTTTAACCATACTATTTGCATGCATTTTATCTTACTGAAATACAATAGAATTAGGAAACTATTTTTACTCTTAAAATATTTCAGGTATTTTAAGAGCTTTTCTTGACATAGAAGAACAGTGCAGTTTTTAGATCCAAAGTTATTTAGCATTAGATTTTTGTGCCAGTTTGTTTAAAATACAAATCAGTTTCTTGTTGAATTGGTGAGACAGAGAGCCATTGCGTCTAGCTGCAGGTCATAAATTTTCGTCTGGAATGTAAGGAGGAGACTGGTACGAGAAGATCTGGGTGTTTTAGCAGGCCCCAAAAATTAACATTAAGACAGCCCCACAAAGGGAGGACACACCTTCTAATGCATATATTTAAATTAAGGGAAATACACATTCTTATAAAAAGCTTTGTTTTACAGCAGAAGATCGAATTGCTTTGTGCCCGAGTGAGCAATTCCCAGAAATGCATTTTTGTCTTTTCTTTTCAACTTGTTGAAGGTAAATTCTATGTTTGTTGTTCGTTGGACTTTTTGATAATCTGGGTGTGATGCTGACGTAACATTCTGTATGCATTGAATTCTCTGGATAAAGCTCTAGATATCTGAAGTCTGATGTCGTATGATTGTTCTTTATCATTCCCCTTGCATACGTGGAGACTGATGGACCTGGGAAACAGAGGAAATTAACGAGCAAAGTGAAGATATTCCTCTGATCTTAACAAGAGACCGGACAACTATTAGTGACACACTTAATAAATCTGATATTTCTGGAGGAGATAAATGGAGAAAGTCATAAAAGAGAGTGATCAGAAGAATGGAGTGAAATAAAGAACAATCCTGTTCTGTTAGTAGATCTCAGACCAGAATGAACTTTCACTTTCCAGCACAACAATGTGACTAAACAGAGCAAAATGAAGCATTTTGACCAAAGCACATGCATGTGTTGCACTACAACCATTTTGCAAAGATTGGGCAAACATTTCAGTGATTAGATGTATAAACATGTTAGAGGCAAGGGCTAAAAAATCTGAAAGACTTTCAGCTGCGATTAAAATGAAAGATGGTTTTACAAATTGACTGAATGCAAAGGCATGTCACGCTTAAACTACTTTTATTGGAGAAGCGAAAGGCGCAAAACTCTCAAATATATGGATAAACAAATAAAACTCAGAGACGAATTCTTTACTGCCAGCCACGACGGGTTGGGTAATTTATTAACACGTTAACGCGATGCATCAATACAAAAACATCGTTTCCAAAGTCTTTCCCCAAAATAGCTCCAAAATCTCCCCGTTCTTCGTCAAGATTCTTGGCTGCCCATTGACTGAGTGTGTGTTGGAGTTTCTCTGGAACACTAATGACCTCTTGATCTAACATCTGCTCCACATCAGAACTGCCAAATAAGCCAATTAATCACAATTGTGATTCCTATCTATCTAAACAGCTTACTTCCCAACTCGTGTTTTGGTCCAACTTTTGTGCTTTGCAAGCAAGAAAGTCAGGTCAGATCGACCTTACTGGCGCCAACAGTCTTTCTGCAAAAACAACTCCTTAAAAAGTATGTCCGCGCTAACACTTTTAAAATGTATCCCAAAGTTCTACCTTGTCTTGGTCTGTCACATAAAATCCTCAGAAAACATTAGCTGTTTTGTGTTAGTATGTGGTGTATGTTTAAGATGAATAAAAACCTTTTCAAATCACCGAATTAAATCTTCTGATGAGTGACTGAGCGCCTCTCTTTGACTGCAGAGGAGGTTATAATGCCTGGAGAGACTGCCTGAAGCCTTCAGAGCTGCTGTCAAAGATGTGCAGAGACAACGGAGTGGACGGTCCTCATTTTAGTCCAGGACGCATCATTGTGGCTGACAAAATCTTCACAGGAAGACTCTCTACATGCACGATGGTAAAGATAACTTACACAACATGCTCAGGATGTTTTGAGATGGTCTTAGACATCAACAGTGAATTTGTACAATTGCTGCTGTGTTCACTGGAAGAGGATTATTTGAATTCAATTCAAAAGTTCCTTATTCGTTCCAAAGAAAGACTAAATGAGGTTGTCACTCATAAAATCCAAGTACCTTCAAAGACTTCCTTTTGTTTTTTTTTTTTTTTTGTCTGGCTGTGGATATGATCTTTACCCATACTGATGGATAGAAGAGATGGTTTAAACTACTGCAGCCTGTTTTAGCTCAGCTTTGGAAATGTGGGGTCGAAGTTCAAATGTTACTGTTTTTGAGCTTTTCAGATTCTAATTCTCTTCTTTTCGGTAGAAGAGGATTCTTACAGTACTAAAATCTACTAATAATTACAGTAAGTGTAATTATTAGGATTACAAGTACTGTACTTGTAGAAATACAGTTCTGTACATCTGCAAGTGTAACCGGATCCGATCTGCGTCGTGCTGGTTTTAAATGATCAGGCCGTGGTTCGCCTTTAAAAGGATTTCCTTAATTTATTCTGACAAGAATAACCAATAGAAAAGAACCGTGTTACAGGCTGCCCGCTCCAAGCCCTCTCCCACAGGACAACAAGACAAAAGGGGGAATCATATCTTACAACTAGTTAAACATGCAAAATAAACCTTTCTATACAACATACCTGGCAAGAATAACAAATAGAAAAGAACCGTGTTACAGGCTGTTGTGTACAAAATTACACAACAGAAATTAACTTAATAACTATAAATAAACTGGATGTATTTAGATACAAAATAAATAGTACACACCTCTCCCACAGGACAACAAGACAATAGGGCAGGGTCTAAGGGATGCAAACATTTTAAAGACAATACCACAGAAGAAGAAACAAAAGGGGAGGGGCTTCAGTTCTTAAAGTAACACAGTGAAAACAATAACAGAGATTTTCAGTCAGGTAGGTACACATATAAATAGCCAAAAAAAAAGACATTTTGAGTAATTATAACAGAAGAGCAATTCAACCAGGTTACACAAGTACAGTTGCCACGTTTATGCATCATACAACTGTTAAAAGAAAGAGGAAAATTCTTCCTGCTGCAAAGCATCCAGAAGCAGAGAGAACAAATGTCTCAACATGCAGCAGCTCAACCAAAGACATTATGAAGAAAAATCCACAAGAAACAATCACACCGAGCATTAACAACATAACAACACCCTGGTATTGTGATAAATACCAGGTAAATATCTTCACAATATTTACCAGAATTTTATATTTCACCAGTATTGCTCCATACACTGTATTGCCAAATGTTTGCTTTGAAGCTTTGCAAATTGTCCACAAGTGTGTTTATGGGAATTTATTACGATTCTTCCACAAGTAGTTTTAAATTTACCTGGAGAAAATGCCCTGATTCATAGCCTTCTCTAATTCATAACATATTTATTCTGTTGAATTGTGGTTAAGACTCAGGCAAGTCAGTCACCTTCTTTCACTCCACACTCAAGTCTCTAATGGACGCTGCTTTGTGAACTGGTGCAGTCATGTTGGGACAGGAAAGAATCTAAACTGTTTTCACAAGATCAGAAGTAAGAAATGTTCTTGTTGCGCTGTTTGGGTGTGCATTAATAGTTCCTTTACTGTTCTCCTGGCAGTGAAGTGTTGATGATGGGAGTAGATTCAGGAGTATCTTCAGTGCTCCATCCACCTGCATTCTGTGGCCGAACTCACCAGAACATTTCAGCTGAATTTAAGAGTAGACGGGTTCAGAATGTTTCTCCTCGCTTCCTTCTATGGAAACGAAAGAAGCGCTTCTGATCAACACAAGTGTTAGATCACCTGTGCTGATCTAACAGGTGATCAACACCCATAGATAACACCTTATTTTCACAACATGCTTTTAAAGTTGCCCAGGTTAGAATTTTGTGTCTTGAGTTACAAAATACTGATTATACATTATCAAAATGAATCCTTACTGATTACATACATCAACGTTAGGTGTTAGCTAGTGCTGATATAAATAACGCTGGTTATTTATATACAGCCTTTCATGAAGGTTAAAATTGTCAAAGTAATATTCATTTTAAAGCCAACAACATTAATTTCCTGCACCCCAACAGATCACACATGACTCTCAAGTCATGGGAAGAAGGGCAACTTCAACTCCAGCTCCTTCAACAGGGTCCTCTCTAACTTCTCTGCTCTCCTCTGGAATAGTTATAATGTGCTTTAGACACCTGTCTGCATCTGCCTCTTCACATTGATCTAAGATCCACTTCCACAGCCAGGAAATCTGCTATGCACTGTTCTGATCATCTTTAGCCCCACAGGAAAATAGAATTCTGCAGATGCTAATTTTGCAAAAAGCTGATGACCTCTCTGCACTTTCTGCAAGTTACAGCATCTCGTGACTCTGCTCTCATATTTTATGTGGTCTACCAATTCATATATAATTTCCTGTTGTTTCCTATCACTTTGTAATAACACCTCAAACAGCTGACTGTTGGTCATTTGGTAGCAGCAAAATCCATGATACCACTCTGGAATTCACTCAGCTCCAGAGGTCAATCCAATCTTTTCCAAATATTTTTAGAAGCATTCTGCATGCCTAGGTGCGGGATTGTATACACTTGTAGACGTTGAAGTGATTAGAATTCCTGAATTCATCATTTGGATGAGTGAGTGAATACTTTTGGTAATATAGTATGTTGTAAAGGACAATAGATGTGCTGCGATTATATGCATGTAATCGTTTGCATTTGTCCTGGTCTTAGATGAGCCGGTGGAGTCATATGAGCACCTGTCTCTGAAGGTCCTGCACCGCTGGGCAGAGATCCCAGCTGTGGGATGCCAACTGGTACCAGAACACATCGAGACCAGAACTCTGTACAACAAGGCCCGGCCTGGAATGGATCAGGTACATCAAATCAAATGAGTTTTTTTAGAATGCAGTGTTTGATATTCAAATCATTTTTCAACATGTTATATTACAACCACTATTTTCCTTCCACTTCACAATTATGCACTACTTTGTTTTGGTCTATCACATAAAATACATAAAATACAGTGATTTATGGTTGTGATTTGACAAAATGTGAAAAGTCTAAATAAATATGTGCTATTCTCTTCATGCAAAAACAACTTCTCCACAAAAAGAAAAAGAAAATAAACAAACAAAATATTCTATTCAAAACGGCAAAAATATTCAGTCAGCAAAAGTCCTGCTGTCTCACCAGCACCAATAGTTTAAAGTACAATGGACAAGTTGGATTGGTTTGAAGTGTCCTTCAATAGACTTAGACTTAGACTTCCTTTATTGTCATTCACAAAAAAAAACACAAGGTGAATCTTGACAACGAAATGTCGTTACTTGGCTACCAGTGTAACAGAGCTAAAACCTTATACTACACAATAAATACATAATAGCTAAATAAATATATAAGAGCTAAGAATAAAGTGCCATAGAATCCACAGGGTCAGTGTTGTAAACAAAACTAAAGTGCGTGTATTGACCATGTCCATGGGGGGGTGATTTGGTTTGTGAGTGTGTGTGTGTGTGTGTGTGTGTGAAGCGGTGTTATGTGGCGTTAAGCAGTCTGATGGACCGGGGGAAGAAACTGTTCAGTAGTTTGGTTGTTCTGCACAAGATGCTGC